ATAAAAGCTAGAGTCACGAAACATGATATGTTGCTTCTAAAATATTATATATTTGTCAAGTATCTTTCATATTATACCTCTCGCCACCTCTCCGCTACCACCCCAGTGCTATAAATCAAGTTGATAACCCAAATTTTATTGAATTTAAGAATTTCTGTATACATCTACAAACATACATTCATGCGCGTCTGCTTCGCATTTTAACAGCATGGTGCTTGCGACTCTTTTCTGTAATGCTATTTAAGTCCCTTTTTTTATCATAAGTGTCTAATTCAACATTTTGACCCAAATCGACAAAATGGCATCACGGTTTTTTTCAAAATCGAGGTCGGTGCGAAAATCGTACCTTTTTCGATGATTTTTTTTTTAATATCTCGGGTAATAGCTCCGCGCGGAGATATGACGTTCCAAAACGACATAACTCCGCGCGGAGATATGACCTTCTAAATCATTACGGTTTTTTTAAAATCGAGGTCAGTGCGAAAATCGAAACTTTTCGATGATTTGTTTTAATATCTCGGGTAATAGCTCCGCGCGGAGATATGACGTTCCAAAACGACATAACTCCGCGGGGAGATATGACGTTCCAAAACAACATAACTCCGCGGGGAGATATGGCGTTCCAAAACGACATAACTCCCCGCGGAGATATGACGTTCCAAAACGACATAACTCCCCGCGGAGATATGACGTTCCAAAACGACATAACTCCTCGCGGAGATATGACGTTCCAAAACGACATAGCTCCGCGCGGATATGACCTTCCAAATTATCACGTTTGTTTTTCAAAATCGAGGTCGGTGCGAAAATCGAAACTTTTTCGATGATTTTTTTTTAATATCTCGGGTAATAGCTCCGCGCGGAGATATGACGTTCCAAAACGACATAACTCCGCGGGGAGATACGACGTTCCAAAATGACATAACTCCCCGCGGAGATATGACGTTCCGAAACGACAAAACTCCCCGCGGAGATATGACGTTCCAAAACGAAATAACTCCCCGCGGAGATATGACGTTCCAAAACGACATAACTCCGCGGAGAGATATGACGTTCCAAAACGACATAACTCCCCGCGGAGATATGACGTTCCAAAACGACATAACTCCTCGCGGAGATATGACGTTCCAAAACGACATAACTCCCCGCGGAGATATGACGTTCCAAAACGACATAACTCCGCAGGGAGATACGACGTTCCAAAATGACATAACTCCCCGCGGAGATATGACGTTCCGAAACGACAAAACTCCCCGCGGAGATATGACGTTCCAAAACGACATAACTCCCCGCGGAGATATGACGTTCCAAAACGACATAACTCCGCGGGGAGATACGACGTTCCAAAACGACATAACTCCGCGGTAAGATATGACGTTCCAAAATGACATAACTCCCCGCGGAGATATGACGTTCCAAAACGACATAACTCCCCGCGGAGATATGACGTTCCAAAACGACATAACTCCGCGGGGAGATATGACGTTCCAAAACGACATAACTCCGCGGAGAGATATGACGTTCCAAAACGACATAACTCCCCGCGGAGATATGACGTTCCAAAACGACATAACTCCCCGCGGAGATATGACGTTCCAAAACGACATAACTCCCCGCGGAGATATGACGTTCCAAAACGACATAACTCCCCGCGGAGATATGACGTTCCAAAACGACATAACTCCGCGGGGAGATACGACGTTCCAAAATGACATAACTCCCCGCGGAGATATGACGTTCCGAAACGACAAAACTCCCCGCGGAGATATGACGTTCCAAAACGACATAACTCCCCGCGGAGATATGACGTTCCAAAACGACATAACTCCGCGGGGAGATACGACGTTCCAAAACGACATAACTCCTCGGTAAGATATGACGTTCCAAAACGACATAACTCCCCGCGGAGATATGACGTTCCAAAACGACATAGCTCCGCGGGGAGATATGACGTTCCAAAACGACATAACTCCGCGGGGAGATACGACGTTCCAAAATGACATAACTCCCCGCGGAGATATGACGTTCCAAAACGACATAGCTCCGCGCGGAGATATGACGTTCCAAAACGACATAACTCCGCGCGGACAAAAACGAAATAACTCCCCGCGGAGATATGCCGTTCCAAAACGACATAACTCCACGCGGATATGACCTTCCAAATCATCACGATTTTTTTCAAAATCGAGGTCAGTCCGAAAATCGAAACTTTTTCGATGACTTTTTTTTAATATCTCGGGTAAATAACGTCTGATTTTAAAATGTTATACCTTTTTGAATGCGTACGGATCCCAACCATCAATTGGCATTCAAACAAATTAAACATCGATGGGTTCAAAAATGTTAAAGACAAAAAAAAACAATTAGTTCGTAAAGACAACCTTTTTAATGATATATTGGAATATTTCCGTCAAATAATGTCCGATTTTTCAATTTCATACCATTTTTGTCTCGTAAGGATCAGTTCTATCGATTGGCATCAAAAAAAGGAAATCCAAAATTTTGACCCAAATCGACAAAATGGCAGGGGTTTAAATGACAATTGCAGTTTAATTGAGGCTTATATTGATGGGCAGCATAAATTGCTATATATACTTCATTTATAGCTATGAGGTCAGGATAGCTATAAAATGGAAGATACTTGACATATATATCGTTTTCTAGAAGCCACATTTCATATTTGGTGACTCTAGCTCTTATTATTTAACAAAATTGCTCAAAAAATTGGAATTTTATGTCGATTTTTATCGATTACTTGGAAACGGGGCAAGTTATCGAGTGTCGGAAAGAAAATCGACCAGCGAGGGAACTAGAAGGACCTCTAGCTAAAATGTAAAGTCTCAAGCTGTGTTCTGATATCCTTCCGTTCATACATACGGGCACACGGACGGACGGAGAGACAGACGGACATGGCCATATCGACTCGGCTATTGATGCTGATCAAGAATATATATACTTTATGTGGTCGTAGATGGTTCCTTCTGCCTGTTATATACATGTGCACAAATGCATTTTACTCTTTTTAGCCATTTTCAATGGGTGGGTTCAGGGTATAAAAAGGCTTGTATACCGTGTGGAAATGTGTGTAGCCAAGTCAGACTTACCCCAATGTATAAGGTATCATAATCTTGATCAGGTTCTCACTTATGGAAATTATCTTAATGAAACATTGCAAAGATATGTATTTTAACTGTATCACCAGACCTCTATATTTTTCAATTGGTTATTTATTATGGGCATTTCAAAGATAATACTTCCTTTGTTTCTTTGAATATTTAACAAAATGCAAACAAAATTTATAAAATCAATTTTATGAAATGCATGCAAACTTGCTCACAAATGTTTACTTTGCCAGCTGTTCAAGCTTGTCAAATTAATCCATTCAGGAATTTTTTACGAAATATTCGTGTAGAGCACATAAAACAAACTTGTTTCTGTTTTTACATTTATTTCGCATTCGGAAATTTGAGCTATATAATAATTTAAAATAAGAGCGGCAAGTGGAGCTCGCCTCAGATACAATCTCACATTAGAGCCCAAAGAAAGAACGATTTTAACAATTATATTTAAAACAAAAACGTACGAGTTCTCTAGTCGGGAGTACCAGACCATGAGGTTTGCTGAATGCTGCGCAAAGAATGCATTACACACATTTTATCTTCCTTCTATACATAAATAGACTTAAATACAATTAACTTATGAAATTTGTTTCTTCATCCGGCACTTTGCATGGGAAATGCACTCCTGATTAACTTCGGTGTTTGTAGTCCGATCTTTATGAAATTTCCAAGGCGTGTATATATGCTTATATAGTACTTATAACAACGAAATGCCATACTCTGTCGAGATATGATTCAAAAAATCATGTTCCCAAATCGTTATTCCTCGATATTATATAAACGGGATGAAATAGTTAAGAAAAGTTTTTAGGCGTTACACAAACGATCAGACAGAAACAGAGGGACATAGCTAGAGCAGGGGGATGGTTGTAGTAATTAATAATATATATCTATATAATTTACGTGTTTGAAGCTGCACAAATACATAATACACTAGAAAATCGATTTCCTTTACTCCATGCATTACCATATAACATAACCGAACAGGAGTAACCAGTCTTAGGTTTCGGAATGGACATTATTGGAAAGTGAATGTCATTGGTCGTTGTAAATATACAGCATATGATAAATGTCTACAATGTTTCTGCTATATAGCATTTATAACTTATAAGGTAATGTTAAGTATAATCTGTTCAACCCATTTAAATGACATGCTTGAATTTTGAGAGATCAGATTGACACCCATTTAATATTAAGCTTTATCCATCGTATCTTGAATTCCTCGTCATAAGCTATATTTTCCATTGATAAGTGAAAACCAGTTTTGAAGTCCATTGAATTTCACGCCATTTCAGTCCCGACCTGCGAAGCTTGACGCCCAACAATAGGCCCGAAACTATACACAGCAAATCTTTGACCCCCGTTTCCACCATCAGCCCGTCAAAACATATAAAGGAATGCATTTTATTGCTTAGCTGAAGCATACTAAATAAAAAACAAATAAAAATAGTCGGTACTTGAGTGCTAGACTAAGTTATACCCTAAATAACAGCTTCTAAAGTCTTTATTTAATAAGAAATTATTATTATTATTTTAACTTGACCTGTTATTTATTGTAAATAGAAATCGGATATGCAGAAGAGCGCACCTCAAACTCCATTCAAAATATATGTTCTTGATCAACGAGATCCTATCGTATGGATTCTCACTCCCTTATTCATAAAGAGGTGCACAATGCGGACGGAGACAGTTCAATAGCTAATGGACAATAGCTAATAAACAGAGTAAATATATGTTATAGATAAAGGGTATCTTACAGCCGGATATCTTCACTATTGAATACAGGGCACACAAACAAAAAATACAAAACAAAGGCACGAGAAACAAAAATAAATGACAAACAAACAATTTTTGTTTTTAAACTAATTTTGTTTTTTATTTGCAAGCTTTTGAGCTTGTATTTTGGAAACACGGCATAAAGTCATATTGGGAAGCTTAACTAAAGTTGGGGGCATTGATTTGCATTTGAGTAGTCCGGCAAACAATATACCATAAATATAACCAAATAAACCACGATCGATAAATTTATACAATGAAAAGAATCAATCAAGGCGCCAAGCGGAAAGACCCTGGCCGGACGCAGACTCAGACGCAGACTCAGACTCAGACTCAGACACGGAGCAGCCGGATCGCTGCTTCAGCGATTGTAGTAAGGAACAAGTTCTCATTGTTCTGCACGATTGAATGGGCATTCGTCGAGAAGATGAGGCAGACGAGCGTCATTCAGATACGTAAGTATAAATATTTCAATAATAATGCCAAACATTCAAATCCCTCCCTTTGTACAAGCAAAATTTACATAACGCCATTTTATTTCGATTGGGTTTTTCAAATTCTGTTCTATTTGTGTCTCCGGCCAGTTTTGCTGATCTACTTCTGACAAGGTTCTCCGACAGCTATATAAACGCGCCAACCGACCGAGTAATTCAACACAAATCATTCAGTAATCAACTCAACTTGAAGGTAAGTCCTCCATCGATCCGCACTGGAGCTGCTGTCCGCACCATTTACTTACCTATTGACACCGTTTGCAGTTCTTCCTTGCTTGCCTCCTGTTCGCCGCCTGCTTGGCCCTCGGCCAGAGCAGCGCCATCTATGGCAGCAGCTACGCAACAGTGCCCATTGTGCGCAGTGTGCCGGTCGTCCGCCATGTGCCCGTTGTGCGCCATGTGCCCGTCGTGGACTCCGTTGCCGTTCCCGTCGTCCACTCCGTCGTGCCAGTGCACCGTGCCGCCTACATTTCATCCCCATCTGTGCTGCGTGTTGGACATGCCTACGATGCGCCCCTCGCCTACGGCGGCTGGCTGAAGGAGAAGAAGTAAGCATTGCCAATCTGCAGTCCTCCTGGAACGCTGGAACCGCTGATACGCTTCAATACTCTTTTTTTTCACTTTTTTTTTTTTATTTTAAAAACTTATTCTTATTAATAAATTCAAAATCTGTACATGCTTAAACAAATGCTTTTTACTTTAAAAGGCGTTCTGAAGGCTCTCTGAGAGCGTAAATGTGTATCCTTAACATTCGCACTCGCATTCTGACAAATATGCTAATCAATGACTGGCATATTTACTCTAGTTCAAGATTAATCTGTTAAGTTTTTCCTGATTCAGTCAGTCGGGACAAACTCATTGATATATTTGGTTAACTGGATTTGGGTTTTAGCTTGAAAGTCCGAGAATTACCTGTCCTGACCTTGTAAGTCAGCTGCAAGTCTGTTAGCCGGATTTGGTTGGCAATTGGCGAAACATTTCCTACATTTTCTATTACCATCGAAACGGCTTCAAACTTATTCGAAGATATCTTTGTGGGAATGTGTTAAATACGCTTTTCGCTAAATTGTGAAATGGGTGTTAAGGCTATATCTATTGAAAGCACCAAAATTCTTGCCGAGAGTGTTATTAAAAACGGAAACAAAAACAGCCGTTTCTTGGATTTGTTGAGGTGTGGGGCAGGTGGACAGGTAGTATTTGCTGTATGCTCTCCATGTCTTGCAACCTGGCAATCAGCTTTGTACTTGTATTCGTTTCTTACTTGATTCCTAGCGGTACATATAGTTCCTTAAGTTCCTAAGTAGCAATAGTCATTGTTGTTTCATTAGCGTTAAAATTTATTGGTAATGATCATCATGATTATTGCATTGCTTAGAGAAATCATAATGAAAATAATGATCCATCATGTCAATAATTAAGGATATTCTTCCTTAAGGAGAATAATTGCTTTTCAGCTTTTGTTGAAAAATAAAAAAAAAACAACAATGAAACAAAAAATCGCGAGCTGACCTAAGCGAAAGATGCCAATTGGCAGGTAGATGTTCGTTGGCATAGCTCAAGTATTTTGATGGAATCTGTGTTTCCCACACTAATTGGGACACATTTACCACGCGCGCGCACACACACACACACACACACATACACACACACATGCACACACATACTAATGCATTAGCGATTACTGATGTTGATGCTAGTCGGTTTATGACCATTAGACAATAGTTGTGTGTATTAGATGGCAGTTGGTTTTGAATTTTACATAACCAGACGCTGGCTGGCCGAGCCGAGATGTTGGCTTAGTTGACAAAACACACATATTTTTCGGAACACAGACAATTCCGATTCACCTTGAAATTATTGCCCGAAATTGAGATGAAGTTTAAGAGAGTTTTCGTCTTTGGGCCTGGTTTGGCGCTGGCTCACGTGGGCAGCATTAGACAGCAGGCCGCCGGGTGAGCCAACCCAAGCCATATGCAAATGACACCACGCACAGAGGGAAAGGGAAGGGGAGAGTGGGAGCCACCTGCCAGAGGGGCAGCATCAATGTTGTCTTATCAGCAAAAGCAACGTTAGCGTCAGCGTCAACGTGAACGTCAACGGCCACGGTCATTTCATTTTCATGCTAATTAGGAATTTCGGAATTTCGGAAATGCAGATGACACCAAAAGACGTTGCAACGTTACGTTAAAGGGCCTTTACGAAATGTAGCATAACTGGAAACTGGAAATTGAACAACGTTATGAAAATGGAAATTGAAATTTTAACTGGAAATGGAAATGAAGAACCATGTATGTAACTGGGTGCGGTGTACGATCCAATGAAAATGAAAATGAATATGAAAATGAAAGCGACGGCGACGGCGACGGCGACAGCGGCAACTTCTATACGAGCCGACTTTGCATCATCTTCGATGATCATTATCATGATCTTCACATTGATGATGATTACGAACTGGCCCTGGCCATTGCAAATGTTAATGAAATGCTTTTGTTTGGCTACATCATCTCAGTCTCAGCCCTAACGACAGCCTCTGCGTCTGCGTCTGCGTCTGCGTCTGCCTCTGTCTCCACGTTGGGGCTTGGGCAGGGCTAGTTGAAAAATTTGGGATGCGTTGCGTTGTTTTGGAATTGCGTTGCTAATTTCGTATCATGAAGCCCATCATGAGCATTATTGGTTACAGCAGCTGCTGCGACTTACAACGCATTGGGATGGTATAAAAGCGCGCGGCAGCCGGTGGATTGACATCAGTCGTGTTTGAAGAGCACACAATACGTAGAATTTGGCATTAGAGTCGTCGTCAAGCCCAAGCTGGAATAGTAGTCAACATGAAGGTAAGCATTCGCCGTCTACGACCAAATACACTGCGCATGCATTCAATTTGATAAACTCCTCTTGCGATTAGGTCTTTGTGTGTCTGTGTGCGCTCTTTGCTGTGGCCAACGCTGGTTTTCTGGGACTGCTCGGCGGCAGCGGGGGTGGTGGCGGTGGCGGTGGTAGCGGCAAGTCAGGCCTCAGTCTGGGCGGTGGTGGCGGCGGTTATGGCGGCGGTTATGGCGGCGGATATGGCGGCGGCTATGGTGGTTCGCATGGACATGGATCCGTGCAAGTGGTCAAAGTTATCCACCAACAGGGCGGCATATCTGGCGGTGGCCACTCTGGCGGCGGTGGCTATGCCGGCGGCTACAGCTACGGACCCGCACCACAGGTCTACAAGGTGAAGGTCATCTCTGGTCGATCCGCTGCTCCAGCGCCCATCTACCATAGCAGTGGACCCGCCTCTGTCAAAGTAATCAAGGTAGTGCACCAAGAGTCAGCAAATCTAGGAGGTGGCCATGCCGTTGAAAGCGGCCCACAGGTTATTAAGGTCTTACACGAAAACCATGATCACCATAATCACCATGTTGCCGGTCCCTCTGTGCATGCGCCCACCAAGGTGGTGCGCGTCATTCACGAGCATGCTTCAGTTGCTGCCCCAGCTCCAGTCTATGGTGCACCAGCACCAGCTCCTATCTACAGTGCACCCGCCCCGGCTCCAATCTACAGTGCACCAGCTCCGGCTCCAATCTACAGTGCACCAGCCCCGGCACCGATCTACAGTGCACCAGCCCCGGCTCCAGTTTATAGCGCACCCGCACCGATCTACAATGCACCCATTGCAGCTCCGGCACCAGCGCCCGTTTACAACGCACCCATTGCCAGTGCACCTGTCTACAGTGCACCCCTTCCAGCGCCTGCACCACAACCCATCTACAGTGCCCCAGCACCTGCCCCGATTCAGTATACCGCCCATGCTCAATCGTCCGCTCAGGCTCAATATAGCGGCCCAGCTCCGATTCAGTACAGCGCTCCGCTGCAAGCACCATCGCCCGTGCTGAGTGTTCCCGAATCTGCATCTGCACCAGCGTTCAGCCAAAGCCCAGTTTTAAGCTTGCCCGCGCCCGTCGAGGAGCAGGCTCTGCCCATCGGTCATGCACCTGCCCAGACCTATGGCCCGCCTCACTTTTAAGTAGAAATCCACAACAGCAGCAGCACCTGCACCAACCGCACCCACACCACAAAACACCACAGCACCACGGCACCACTGGAGGCGTCCACAATTACCAACCCAGCACATGCGCATGTACATGTGGTTGTACATACGAAGACCTCCAAACCTATGACTTCTACCTCTATCGATCTTTTGGCCTATTCTTCTGTGCACCAAACTCTACGACTCCATAAGTTATTTTAATTTTTTTTTTTTTAAATTAGATTATTTTTTTTTTGTTTGTTTGAAAAAAAAAAATATAAATAAACCGACTGTTTAACGAACACCGATTTTTTAACAATCCAGATATCATTAGTTAAATTTGGCTATTTTCAAAGGTCATCGGGTAAAAATACAAAATTTAAACTGATTTTTTGCCTTCTTCAAGACAACACAGTGCTAGAAATCGAAATATCTTTTGCAACATTTAGTATTGGATTCCGAACCTTTTTAAAGCAGCAATTGACAACACTGGCCACAGAACTCTGATTTTTTCTAAACGGCGAATATCGTAATACGAGCACTCGCTCCTTGAAATTTCATAGAGCTTGGATACCCTTAAGAAATGCCCTATATAAATATATAAAACGTACGGAAAATCTACCTTTTTATTAGAATAGGACTCTATCGACCAAGATCCAAATATCACAGACTTCAGACTGAAGATATTTGGAGATTTACGGGAAAACTGCTTCGCGTCGATTCACGCCGACTCCTACGGGAAGGGAGGGCAGACAAAATGCTATATCACTGGCGCCTCCATAAACTTGACCTTCGCGTTGGCGCCGATGCACCGCCAGCTGCTGCGCTTGCGCGAACGCCAACGCTGTAACACATTTGCATAAATAATTCGTTACATTTCACATTTTCTTTCAATGTTTTGTTTTATCTTTCGGCCGCTTTACAAATGTTTAAAACACGCGATATAAACTCAAAACAAAAACAAAAAAAAAACAAAAAAAAAAAAGTTGATCATAGTTTGGCCGTGCTGTTGTTGTTGTTGGTGCTGCTGTTGGGCCTCGGTAATATTACGATATATTATATATATTCGCCTATTTTATTGTTTCATAACAAATTTATGTCTGCATACGCAAACGGATTCAAATTTGTTTTGTTTTAATTATTTTAAACACAATTGTAAGCTGTTTGTTGTTGTTGTTGTTGTTGTTGTGGTTTCGGTTGTTAAATATTTGTTGTTTACAAGTTTTGCAATTTATTCGGCTGCTTTGACAAGCGCTTCAGCAACTTCGACGGCAATGGCAGCTTCTGCCTTGGCCTGCAACAAGAGACGAAAGGTACATCATTTTCTTCATTTTAAGTGCACCAAATGCGAACTTACCTTGTCGCTTCCAGCGGAGCTCAGCGCCGACTGGTATTTGGAAAGCAGCTGTCTGGCCTCGCTTACGTCGATGTCCTCGATGTTGTGAGCCTCCTCAGCGAGCACCTGCACGGAGGAGTCCTCGTTGACAGTCACCGAGCCGCTAGAGACAAAGTACTTTGTGAGTTTGCCATCATTATCGGTGACTTGCACAACACCTGGCTTCAGCACAGCTGTAGAAAGGAAAGGTTAATTGTTTAGCGCTTCTGAATTTGTTGCAAAGATTCAACGACGATACACTTACCCAGAGTGGGCACATGCTTGGCTAAGATGCCGAAAGAGCCGCTGAAAGAGGGCACATCGATTTGGCGCACCACTGCGGCATCGTAGAAGGTCTTGTTGGCAGCAGCGAAGGTCAGCTTCATGTCGTCCGAGTAGGAGCGTTTCTGGCTCAGGCGAGCGCCACGCAGGGCCACCAGGCGAGCATTTTTCACGAACGACATTTTGTTCTGCAACATGATAAATGGGTGCAAGTGGTAAATTTTAATGTTATTTTTGTTTGCTGCACCTTTTATAATATTAAGCTGCTTTTAAATTTACAGATATACAAATTATGTAACTTTATAGGTTATGCTACAGGAGGCAATAGTCAAACACTGAGCTTGGTAAGAACTGTAATACCGACACAAAGCGCAGCTATTGTGCTGTTTAACAATCGAAAACGTATCCTGACAATTATTGAATTACCTTTAATTAAGTTGGAGTGTGGCGAAAACAAAAATACTATGGAATCTGTCGTTCAGCTCGTAACCAATGCCGCTTTTTAGAGATGTCAGGCAATCTACAATAATATCGATTAACCAAAATCTTCAAATCGATATATATATTTATTTCAACAGTCAATCGACTGGCCGCCATAAGCTATCGACCATAACCATCGAGGCTGGTATACAGCTACGATAAAATAAGGGTATCGAAATATCGTGTATCGAGTAGAAAAAATGTACAGCCAGATACAAACAATACTCATTCGTAGCTTTGCAAAAACTGTCTGTATAAATTTGTTTACTTGTTTGTTTTAGTGTATAAAAATTGACTTATAAACTCAGAACAATTGAAAAGCGTTAAAAAATAGTAAAGTCACAACTGCCCAGTGAGAAAAGAGAAATGTACTTACAATTACTATTAGGTCTGCTTGCGGTATCTTCGATGCCGGCAATTGGCGGTCGACCACTGTCTGACACCGTATACCTTGCGGTAGGCACATCAATTGATATAACCGCAAACAGCTATGGCAAAAATGTGCTGCGTACGTTCTGCTATCCGGGAAAATCACGCTCACTATTCAGCCTATTTGAGACGGTGGAGCTAATACTCTCCATAGATAGTGATGACTACTCTGAATATGGCGGGCGTTCGCCCGACGAAGTACTTGACCACTACAATGAAAAGCGTTCGCTATTTAGCCTCACGCTCTTCTCACAAAAGCGCCAAAACATTCAGATGTCCCCGTTTGAGCAGCAGTGCATCGGCGTTTCCTCTAATCAGCCATACAACATCAGCCTAAGGCACGTAAATGTAGATATGTGGCGCGTGGTACAGCTGGCCCTTGGCATGGCGCTCTTCTGGAGCGCCAGTCGTTTGGCCAAGAACAACGTCTTCTACTATTTGGCCGGTATGGTGCTAGGCATTTGTGCCTCGTTACTAGTAATCATTGCTATCACAGCCAAGCTTTTTCCGCGACGACCCATGATGTACGGCGTACTAATCGGTGGATGGACTATCGGACTTTACATACTCAAACAGCTATCGGATAACATTCGGGTTATATTGGTCACCTATCGCGAATATGTGCTCTGGTATTTGGCGATAACTGGGCTGGTGTCGTTTCTGGTATGCTATCGCATCGGACCGCCCAAGAATCCGCGCTCGCAGAACATTATCATGTGGGTGCTACAGGCAGTTGGCGCTGCAATCGTTTATTTCAGCAGCTGGCATACTAGTGCCTGCGTGGTGCTGCTGGTGCTCACCTTTATAGCCCATTATTGTCCGGAGTCGGTGCAGAAATACGCACACAGCATTTATAGACGCCGCTTTCCACCCAAACGACGCCTGCTTACACAGGAGGAATACTATGAACAGGCTGTCAATGAGACGGCACGGTCTCTGGCTGAACTGCGTGACCATGTCAATAGTCCGCACTGTCGTCAATGGAGTATTATAAGCTCGTTACGCGATCCGATGCGCTTTGCATCCTTTGCAAATGGTGCACCTCATTTGTATGATGAAGAGATCGAGGATTACTCGCGGACCATTGAGGACTCCCTGGAAGGCGCTGACGAGGATGAGGTTGGTGACTATCTACACTCCAACATGTACTACCGACCCACAGGAAGGCGCCCCAATCAACAGCTCTCTGCACCCATGCCGCCCTCATACCCAGTACATCCCTTGCCACAGGGCAGACAGCTTAACAACAACCATGACGACGACGACGAGGACAATGATGAAGATGATAATGACGATGACGAGTTTATGGATCAGGAGTAAATCAAGCCAGACTTAAATACACAAGACTCAATAGTTTATAAAATTCAGGAAGTTTAGTTACCTAGTCGAGGCCAAAAAATATGTTTCCTTAGAATCCTTTTTTTTTTTAGCTTGATATTTAAATTACTGGTAGTGGACCATGGACCAACAACCATAACGACAACGACGGCGACAAAGACGAGGACAATGATGAGGAGTATATGGATCAGGAGTAAATCAAGCCAGACTTAAATAAACAAGACTCAATAGTTTTTAAAATTCAGAATGTTTAGTTACCTTGTCGAGGCCAAAAAATATGCTTGCTTAGAGCACTTTCTTAAATTCTTGCTGGTGTATGAAGAGATATATATACATATTTATTATTTATAATCCGTATATACGTCAATACATAAATCCACCTTTCACTGCACAGTCAAACATCAGTACGACAACAGACGAGGAATAGGAGTAAATTATGGGAGACTTAAATAAACAAAAAACGAGTTAATAAAATTCAGAGAGTTCAGTTAACTAACCGATGCCAAAAGAAAGTTTCCTTTAAAATCGATTTCTTAACTTAAATAATAGTTATATAAATTAATTGCCTCGCAAAATCCTTTACATTAGTTTATAACCTCAGGTCTGACAGTAAAATTACAACAACAGCGACTACAGAAAATGACGAAGAACAGGAGTAAATTTAGGCAAACTTAAATATAGAAGACCTTATAGTTTATGAAATTCAGAAAGTTTGGTTACTTTGTCGAAGACGAGATATATTTTTTCCTTAAAACGTGTTTTGTAGTTTGATGCGACTTGAATGGGGTGGAGTGTACATAGATATTTTTAATTATATTAATTATACATTTTGGAAGCATCAAGTCCTATAAATCAACTTTTCACTGCCCTCAGCCCAAACAGTCAATACGTTACTTGCCTCAGCACAGACTGCAACACAACAAGCTCGAAAACAGACGATGGCGAAGTAATGAATACCATACGACTCCCTAATTAATAACATTCTTATTTCAGTCGCAAGCTTAACATTAGTTTCCCCAAAAACCAGTTCGTTAATATTGTTCATTTGTAAAAACTTGTCATTCATATTATATATTTTAACTTTTACTCATAATAAATAATAAGAGGCAAACATTTAAACATAAGCAAATCTTTTAATTAAACGAAGGTATCGTTATTATTCAGATTTGTAACCGAAAAAAATTCAGACTTGTTTTCTTCTGTTTCATCCAAGTCTCTTTGTAAGCGACATACTTACTCGTAAAATTAAAGGACGTCGTCTAGATATCCGGTAAAGACAATCCCATGGGATCAAATTATACTTTTGATTATACATTCATTGGTCTTAAATGAACTTTAACAAATATCTTTAAAGGTAAGTAACAGGCCGGTCGAATGATCGCTCTTATAAGTCAGCCAGTTTCGTTTTATTGAATATACATTTTACTCGTTGCGTGACTTATTTTCCATTATGATTCAATTAAAAACTGATTCATATATTTTCAATTTAACCCTCGTTTTAAAACGAAGAAATAGTACTTTGCCGAATTGTTGATTGTTATCGGTATCAACAATTTTAAGAATGAAACAGAATTCAGCCACGCTCACATTACTGTTGATTTTTATCATTTTATCTCAGTTGCTAGATTGTTGATTTCTGCTATTTGTTGTTCCAAGCATCGAGAATTTTCTTCAATTTTTCGCTCGACTGTTTCTCTTTACTACGTGTAATCACATCATTCTTATTTATAACGAAAGTTCATTATATTTGACGGGTCTCTTTTTGCCGAATCCGAGGACAAAAGATTTGTGGAATGACTGTCTTCATATAGCATCTCGTAATAAACGAAGACAATTACTAGCTTGGAAATACCTATATTATTAAAGGTATTTCAAATGCTAATTGTTCAAATAAATGAGATGTAAATGCGTTTCTTAAATATCTGATATAAACGTTTGTCAACCTTTCCGTGGAAGTGGCCATATAAAATTATCATTCTGTCTCGCTCATTATTGTGTGTCCGTGTGTAATGCCATCTCACTCCTTTTGGATGGCACACTGGACAGCAATAAGCTACGTCCGGGACCAACTAGGTTTAATTGATGTTCCGCTGGGGCCAAATTCATCAGCTATTTTGGGGCTGTTGTCAACCTAGCGAGCAACTTATGTCTCCAGCAGTAAGAAAATTCGGCAGAATATTACTGACCATAACTGCAGGTTGCATAGGCAATCCATGACTTGATTCCGCAGAAAGATCATCGATGCAGGTCGATTTTGATGCGTTTTGGAGAGATGGTTAGCAACGACTGCGGCTCAATCTGGATGGGACGCTTTTCACCGGCCATGCAGACCACTTTAATGCGTTTCGTTAGCTGTTCCATGTCCATGGGAATTTCATTGGCGCATTTTAGTGCCATTTCGGTAAACGTGCGCTGTCGCTCGCGTCGCTCCCGGCGCGGATGCGGCACAATGAATCCGTTATAGATTTGCTGCAGCTGATCAATTGGTAAGCTTTCGACATTCGGCACATACAATTCACGCTGCAGAATACAGAATAGCTGCTTGATAAATAACAATAACCTCGACATTCGCATACCTTTCTTAGCTGCTCCAACATTTCTGCGCGTGTTGGTTCCACATACTGCATGTATTCCATTAAATCTATCGAAAGCGAAATCTGTGTAGGTCAAGAACATAAATATTCCCCTACTTAAAAGGCAGGGATCATAATAATTTCTGTACGGTTTCTAGTGGAACAGCTGACTTTCAATCTCAGGGTTGCCACATGTTACGAACTTCATTTATGGATGCCACCGTACTTTTTATATATTATAAAAATTTAATAACACTTTATTTGCTATATTTTCGTTGCCATCAGGTAAAAAATATTATTATTATATAATTCAAATATTGAGTCCAATTTCAGTTAGAACACTCTCGAAAAACGCCAGCGTTTCGAAAAGATCGCAGCTTAAAATAGTGCTGCACGAATATCGATTACACTATCGATAGATACTATCGCCAAGGAAATCGCGATGGCCACTATTGGACTTGGCTAAATTCGACGGTTTTTTTCATATTGCACATCTCAATCACTTGATTTCAAAATCGTTGCAATAAAATTATGTAATAAGTTCGACTAAATGTTTATGCAAATATTTGCATATACTTAACACATATAGGTCAGGGACCATGTTGAAAACGCCTAAGATTGCCAAATGTTTTGATTGTGAAATAATAGAAAAATCTAAAAATGTTCTTCAAATCATTAATATATATAATACTTATATCGAATTGCCACCTTTTAATAGATGAAAAAAACCATTTATGTTTTAAGTTTCATCCGATAGGCATTATACTTTGTTCTCTATACTTTGTTCTCTATAAATGTAATGAATAAATAATAATAATATAATAATTTCGATAATTCTTGAAAATGTCATTTATTCTAATAGAATAAAAACGTATTACATACTTTTGAGAGCAGCGAAAGTATTTAATAATGCAGCATACTGTTTGGCTGGAGATGGATGTTGCGTGAATTGACCACTTTTAATGAAGATGAATGGGCAAATAAACACAATATTTTGGTTCTTGGTAAAAACAAGCAAATAGTTTGCATGATCAAAAGACTTGAACCGAACTCAACGCGAGATTCTAGCACGTTTAGCTCGTGAACCTAATGAATTATTATATGTAGATATCCTCATGTCTGATATGTATGTGATTAGTGCAGCCAAAGAACTACATTTTGAAGAGCCTCATCCTCGGATGTGTGTATACAAATATCTTGTAGTACTCGTATGCAGGGAGCGTAGCCCCGTTGCCTGTCTCGCTTCTTCCCGTCTCGCTTCTTTTCTTCTCATCTCATTGACATTGACGCTGACAGCGCTGTTGACGTCGCGTCGCGTCGCGTCGCGTCGGCGGGTTCCAATTTCCTTTTGCCATAATTTTTGGCACTTTATGTGCCAGTAGATAAGAATAATATGCCTGACTTTTGGGTATTTGTGTTTTCAGTTTTAGTTTTTTACTTTTTTTTTCTTTTTTTTTAATTGAATGCCTTAAACCCATTGAATATGTTTGAATAGGGTATATTGGTTTTCTGTAAATGTATGTAACAGACAGACGGAGATATCTTCATATTTTTCTGCATACCCTACTAGTATATACAGATTGAAAATAATTAGATCTTTTGAAACATTTCTCCCATCTCTTTGAAATTTAAATAAACTTATTATTGAGCCATATTTTTTAGAGCTGATTTCATAAAGAGCGAACTAAGTATAAACACCGAGGTTAATCCGAAGAATGCGTTTTACATTGTGTGGGGCAAGTGGAAGAAGAGGAAAATGAGAAAATTTGTGTGTATGTTTAAATGGGAAACTGGCATGTTTGTAACGCGCTTAGGGTATCTGGTAGTCGGCAATGCACGACTCTTACTTGTTTTATTTTGTTTCGCTCTGTTGGGAAGGCGTTTAAGTGTTTAGTGCTAAACGTTTCCTTCTCACAGCAATTGATATGCGATTGAGGAACTCCTGCAGTTCTGGTTGCGTTATCCTTTGTCGCAGATACACATACATACATATATACATATTTGAGAAAACGCTTCACGTGCGTCCAGGCAACCAAAGTGCTTGTCTGTCGAATTTGTCACTTCACTTGGCTGCAGTGTCTACCAATTTTACTCAAATATCATTTGGTGATCGTCTGAGTGTGTGCGTGTGTGTGCGCGTGTGTGCCCGCGTATACTTAGGCTCACATGCTGCTCAGACGAACAGAGCGCTCTTATCGGTAGGGGGTCAGACAGGCAATTGCCTAACTGTTGCTTTGGCTGCTGATTGAAAATTTTCCGTAAGTGCATTCAAGAATTAACTATGCCCATTTTTGTGTGTTGCCCCTGCTCTTGGCCCAGGAAGATAGTAGCTGAGCCCCTTAAGAACGAACGGCACCAACCAACTTGGTCACACACGCGCACACACACACGCACACACATGGAAAAGTTTGAATAGTTCATTGATTATGTTAATATGGAAATGCCGTCGGAGTTGTCGCTCCCCTTGATTAACCTTATCACTGGCTCGTCTCTTGTGTTTTTTAGTCTTTAGGTCTGTTTGTTCTCTTCCAACTAACAGCAGAAACTCCAATCGAAACCGAAACCGAAATCGAACCGAAGCCAAATAGAAAATCTGTTTCATAATCTTTATGTTGTTGCATTTTATGTATTGACAATTTTCCATATTCCCCCGCTATCGCTCCGTCTCCATCTACCTCTCTCTCTCTCTCTCTCTTTCTATCTTGCTATTTGTTACCCTGTATTGGCTTACTGGAGCTAGTGTTGTTTTCCTTTTTTTTAATCTGTATTTGTTTTTGTTACTTTACCTTTGTGGGTTTTCCCGTTCACACGTTCCTCATGGAAAATTCTATCCCATGTAATATGTAATAATATATGTATGTATACATGTATATTGATCAGTTTTTGGTCGTTTACATGTAAATTTGGTCGGTTTTGGCTTAAACTTTGTTTTTCTTGGCGAGTAAGTCGAAATGAAGGCTATTATTATATTAAAATTACGATTACACGAGTGTTAACGATCTTGTCTATACGGCTTTGAACATGTTTTTCTAAATCACATTAACATTGCTTTTTGAACTTAATGTGCCTAGATATATAATCCAAAGTATAACTACTTTGTCTATCTCAGAACAGTAGTTAGCTAAGTATATACTAGCATATGTAAATCGGTACTAATGCTATTATATATTCCATTCAAGTCCTGTCGTTTTTGTAATGTCTATAGTATAGATATAGATAGGATATAGATATAGATATAGACTCTATAGTCTTTTAATGAGATGAAAAGAAATTTTATACCCTCAACAAATAGATGATGAATATTAGTTTTCGAGCTGGACTTATGCTGGACAAGGAAAATGCCAGCTGGTATATAATTGTAGATCTATGATAACAATAAAATCACAGAGGTTGCAGCCAAGAACAGAATAAGTCTTATAATGAATAATATTATCAATCATACCTCATAGTTTACCTGGGTGCCAAATGATTAGGATATCCCTTAAAAAAGTTGTGTATACAAGAACTTTATATTCCGATCATGAAAATGGCAGCTATAAAATGTTGTGATCCGACATACGTGCAACCTGCAAGACGAAACTATGGAGCTTTGCTGTTGATACCAATCAGGGAGACATACACTTCAGGGGTTCGGAGATGCCTTCCACAAAGCTTCAATGCTAGACCGCAGTCCACGGTTCATACTTGGCAACATATTATAATAGATGCTTTCATTAAGTGATGACCCATGTTAACTGGTAGCTTCTAATAGATGCTCACGAACACACATACACCTATACCTATATGCCCACACACGCACACACGCACACACACGAGCGCGTAGAACAGAGGCCAAATGATCTGTGACTGGGTGAATTTCAAGTGTTTTTGTCAAGGCAAGAACTGTAAGTGGATACTTGGACAGGCACTTTTAGCTGTCATTTGTTCGTAATAAATATCGAAAAAAGAGAATGAAAAAAATAAAAATAAAGGATCGTTCCGCTCACGATATTGAACATGTGTGTGCCGTGCCGAAATGAAGCAATTACATTGTAAAATTAACAATGAAGGAGAGAGTATCCACTGGAATAGTGTGTAGGCGTGCCTGCCCAATGTACTCCCAAGGTAGCCGAAAAGGCAAAAAAAAAAAAAAAATAAAATAAATAATAATATAAGAACTAACAAAGGCAAAATTATTGTCAACACATGGAAAACGTCGCCGCGTTGGCATTTCTCTTGACTTAGGAATCTGGAATACGAGAGGATGCTCAGTGCTGCAGCAAAATTATGAGTATGCCTACTCAGAGGAATCTTCTTGCGCTTGGTCGTCGGCTTTGTTTCGGGCGCTGCCGTTGGCAGAGGTCAATAACATTTTGGAAACAATTTGCATGCTTTGACTCTATACTTAGAGGGGCATGCCTTTTGTCTGATGCATTGAAATTGAAGACGCTATGCCTAAAAGAGACGCAACTTCCTTCCTTCCTTCCGCAGTAGCTGACTGTGGCCGCAGCCTGTGCCACGGCCCAGACATGACCAGGACCACTTCCTCCATAAAGCAAAAGCAAACAAAGGCAGCGACGCGCTCGAAATCTGCTTTCATACGCAGATGAGATCGTCTACAAAGCTTTGCCCAAACGAAGCGGCCTCAACCTCATCTTCCTCATCTTCCTCATCATCATCATCATCAACATCAACATCCTCATCAGCATCACCAACATCATTAACATGTTTAGTGGAGCGACGGCAACCGCCACCATCGCTCTTCCCTCGACTTGCTTCGACTTCGGCTCAAATAAAACATGTTAATGTTGCAAGCTGCAATTTTTGCGACGCCGCCGTCGTCAGAGTTGTCGTCTTCCTTTCGTTGTGCTCCGTCTTGTTATTATACCCTTACCAAAGCCGGCCAGTCAAGTTTCCTATAACGCTTTTCAACCACAGCTCTGCAAACTAGTTTAGTCGAGTGATCTGCTGGCACTTTTTTTTTTTTTAATATAATATTTTCTATTTAGTAAGTATATACTCTGTTTAAGAAATGCGAAAAAATGTAGTTCTTAAAAAAATAAAAACATTTTTTATGCTAATGTTGAAGACCTTTCTTTTTTTTTTTTTTAAATATCAACTGTATTTTTTTGAAATTATTGCTTGCAAAAAATTAATTTATCAATTAATCCGGAAAATTACCGGTTGTTTGGATTTGGGATTCGGATGTAAGTCTTTTTTTGCAAGTAAATTTATTCAAATCCC